TTTGAAATTTTAGGCGTATGTTTATCAAAAATAGATAAATCTTTGAAAATATCAAAAATCTATTTTACATGAAATAAATTGATCAAAATACCCCTGAAAAGTTTCAGAGGTATTTTGGTCATTTTATTTTTCATGAATAATTTTTTTTATATTTTTATTAGGTGCGCCTTGATGGGAAGAACACACACCTAGAATTTCAAATGAATTGAATCTGTAGAAAAATAAATAAAATTCAAACACTATTGGACATGCGTGATCGTTAGATCTACCTAGATTCAATCTGGGCCGTTGGGCTCATATGTTCATATGAACTAGTGGGCTAATCCCAGCTTTTTTTTTTTTAAGCTGGGATTAGCCCACTAGCTCATATGAACATATGAGCCCAATGGTCCAGATTGAATCTAGGCCGATCTGACTATCATGCACGTCTAGTAGTATTTGAATTTTATTTTTGTTCATATATATATATATAATTTGAGGTATGTGTACATATGACTAAGTCGCACCAAAATAAAATATTAAAAAATTAATAGCCATAAAATAAAATGATGAAATTACCCCTGAAACTTTATAGGGGTATTTTGCATGAGTTTTATCATTCAAATTATTCGTTTCATAGTTTATTCATGTGAATTTCATTAAGGCACACACACACCTATAAAATTTTCAGATCATTATGATTTGTAAAAAAAATATTAAAATTGAAAGAGTATCGGACATTTGTGACCATGTGATAAACTTTGAACGATGATAAAGTCATAGGTGAAGTACTATAGAAAGCCGCATTGCCCCATATAACACATCAAAAACTATGCACATTTATTTAGTGGGAGATGAGGGGCGAGCAACGGTCATGAGGAGCATTGGAAGTGATGTTAAGACAATGGCTGCTGGTACAGGTGTGTTGGGGATCGTTGGTGGGTCCTCTCTACCCATGGTTTTTGTGGAGAAAGCTGAGTGGAAGAAGCTTAACATCAAGCCGGATTGTTTTGTGACAGGTTTTTTTTCTCCTCCTATCTCTGATTTTTTTGGTTTATCTTACTGGACTGAGAGGGAATGAACCTTCCATATGGTTATGATGTAAAGGTCATTGTTGTGAATAAAGTGGTATTTAGACTGAGATATGAGGAGGAGGTCGTTAGAGCGTTCAAACATCGCTTCTGTAGAATTCGTGGAAGCCTCCTCTCTTTTGATGCTTGGAAGCCGAGTGATCATAGTTCTTTTGTTCAAAAAAAGATTATGTGTATACGTCTTAGTGGCATCCCTTTGTATACTTGGAACTTAGAAATAATTAAAAGGATTGTGGGTCCCATGAGTTGCTATCTAGACCTGGATTGGGATTCTTTTTTAAATCGATTGCTTTGGGGTTCTGGTTAAAGATCCAAAGCCAAAAGCCCGACACTACCTGACCATATTTGCCTCAATGTTGGTGAGGATTCTTTTATTATTCAGATTCTTTGCGAGTCTATGGCCAAGAGAGTAGGTGTTATGGAAGGACACCACAAGGGTTGCCATGGCAAGGTTTCATGGTTGCCGGAGAAAACTAAGCTGCTGGCGCTGGCTGGTCCTTCGGAAAGGATCAATCACCATAATGGTTTGCGGCGAGAAATTAGGGGCTTCAAAATTCAAAAAAACGCTACTCCCAAATTTTCAAAAAAATGGATTCCTGTGGGAAGGTTTCTGCAATATATGCAGGGACTTTTGTTTTTATCAGTAACCCCCGTAAATTGAAGTCAGATGTTATGGTAGGCCTCAACACGGATTTAGCAACTGCAGCCCAAGATATTGTAAAGAAGGTGCCAGAAGACATGCCTAAGGATTGGATTCTAGATGATATTCTTTTGACACAAGGTGGTCACCTCATGGCTACTGCGAGCTCATCTTCTTTTCTTGACGCAAAAGTTTAGGTAATGGCGACGGACATAAATGCATGCAGAGGGAACGTATGAATTGCCATCAGCTCATTGGTAGGAACCTTCCTGTCGTACAAGTGGTGTACTGTAGTGCTATTTACTTGGATAGAGAGGCTATCTCTCTCCCTGAAAAACCTCCTGCCTGCAAACCTCTCCTCTATCCTTCATCTTCGGCTACTGCGCTTGTTCTATTCCTGGTGCATTGGAAGGGGCTGCGTCAAGCGTGGTGCATCGTCATTGTCTGTGCCATACTCTTTCGCAAGATGCATCCTTTGCCTTACCTGACTACAACGGCCAAGAGCTTCCCCAAGGCAAGTCGTAGCCGTTTTGACCCCTTGCTTATGATCCACTAGCCATTGTGGTGGTGGATCCAGATGAGTCGCGGTTGTTATTGGAGTTGCCCTAGTCAGCCGATGTTTCTCTGGATGGTCAACAATTGGGTAGTGTGACAGAAACCCCTACGGACCACTATTTGCTGGGGGTTCATGAACCTATACTGGTGGTGGATGCTACACTTGTGCCGGCTTTGCCTTTGGTAATGGTATACAAACCTTTACCTGTGATGGACGCTCCAGACCCCCCCCCCCCCCCCCCCCCCTGATGTTTTGGCATTACCTGGTAATGCTCTTTCTGATGTTTCACCTAAGGTTCAAAAATTGCTCTGTGACATGGGTTTGGAGACGTTGCCTCTTGCAATGGTGATGACTGAGATTCGCAAGTGCAGGAATATTAAGGAGGCGACGAAGGAGAAGGTGTCTCAAAATGCAAATATGGTGAACCCAATTAATGATGCGGTTTGTACCCCGGCTGGAAACGCTTCAGTGAAGGCTAAAGGAAAGAAGATCTTCCGTCGAGGTTTCCGGTTATTGGTCAGGTTGGAGGCTCAAGGCATCCTTAAAGGAGGCTATCTGAATGCGGGCATTTCTTTTCGTGAACCTGAATTGGTAGACGTTGGCTCCTCCTCCTCCTCCTCTATTGAAGATGAAGATTGGGAGTCCATGGACTTGACTGAAGCTCGAGATGGGGTCGATCCGTCTGGACCAGGTTATTCATCCTCTCCTCATTTGTTTTAATGAATATTTTGTCTTGGAATGTCAGGGGCCTGGGTGATCCTAGGCGTAAAAAAGATGTTTTATTTTTAGTTCCAAGTACAAACATATAATTTTGGCGTTACAAGAGACCAAATTTCATAGCCTGCCCCTTTCAATGGCTAGGGAAGTTTGGGGCTCAGGGGATGTTTGTTTTTGTGGTATTGATGTTGTGGGAAACTTTGAGGGTGTCTGGATTCTTTGGGATCATTTGGTGCTTACTAACTTTGTGGCGGTTGTTAAAGATCATTTTTTGCTTTTGTGTTTTGTGGGTCATAATCAAGGCTATTCTTGGAGATTTATGAATATGTATAGCCCTTATGTTTCTTCTTTAAAACCTGCTTTCATTGAGGACATGTCTACTGTGGCTCAGTCCTTTTCATTTTTAATTGTAATTGGGGGGGATTTTAATCTTTTCAGGTGGTCTGATGCATTCTTGGCAGGCCACCCAATAAATTATTTGATGAGGTGTTTTAATAGGTTAAGTGAAGATAATGCTTTTGTGGATCCTCCTATTATTAGATCAAGGTTTACTTGGTCTAATAATAGTGTTAGGACCCTTGCCATGTACAAATTGGACAGATTCTTGATTGCTGCAAAATGGACAGAGGCCTTCCCTCTTGTTACAGTTAATTCTCTAGTGCGGCTGTCCTCTGACCATCTCCCTTTACTTCTTTCTACAGGAAGTATTAGGGGTGGTCCTAAACTTTTTAGGTTTGAGTTAAGCTGGTTGGAGAATCAAGAGGTGGTAGAACATATTAGGAGGACATGGTCTAATACAATGGTGATTGGGTCCATGGATTTCCAAATTCACAAAAAGTCAAGCACAAACTTTTTGAATGGAAGAAGGAACATCAGGTGGATTTCAGATCAAAGATTGAAGGGATTTTAGCAGAGATCGAGGCTACTGACCTTAGAATTCAAGAGAGTGGTGTTCTGACTGATCAGCTAGTATGTGAGCGTAATGAAAAATAAAGGAATTGGAGGTTAGGAGAGTGGAATAAATTTATTTGAAGCAAAGATCAAGGAACAAATGACTTAAGGAAGGGGACCTAAACACGAAATTCTTCCATGCAATTAATAGTGTTAGAAGAAGACAAAATGATATTTCAGGTCTTTCTATACCTAGAATTGATTCAGATGATAATGAGGCAATGGAAGGAAGTGTTATTAAGCATTTCAAGGATGCTTTCACTAAGGAATTGGTTGTCTCCGAAATTTGACAATGTCCCCTTCAATAAACTGGATATTAACCAACAAGCCTCCTTGGAAAAGGACATTACTATGGATGAGCTAAGATTCGCAGTTTTTGCACTGTCTAGAGATAAAGCCCTTGGCTCGGATGGATTTCTTTAAGTTTTTTTCCACAGATTCCGGAATTTGGTGAAGGAGGATTTATTGGTGTTGGTGAAAGAGTTTTTTATTAGAGGTTATATTTTCAAAGGTGTTAACTAGACATTTTTTGCACTGATTCCTAAAACATCTGTGATTAATGGGTTATCTGATATTAGACCCATAAGTCCTGCTTACAAGTATTTATAAAATTATTGCTAAAGTTCTAGTTGAACGTCTTAAATGGGTCTTGCCTTCGAAAATTTCGACCTCTCAATCTGCTTTTATCAAGAATCATCAGATTACTGATAGTGTCCTGGTTGCTCAAGAGTGCATTCATTCTTGAGTGCTAAGTAAGAATGCAGGTTTGCTTCTTAAATTGGATTTAGAAAAGGCCTATAGGGTGGAGTGGGGGGTGCTGTTAAAAATTATGAAGATGAGGTTGGGACCACGATGGAGAAGCTGGATCTTTGGATGCCTTAATACTGAACATTTCTCTGTTCTTTTTAAAGGCAGCCCAATTGGTTTCTTTAGTGCCTCTAGAGGGCTTCGCCAAGGTGACCCTCTCTCCCCCTTCTTATTCACCATCTATGCTGAGTGCTTCAGCCTTATACTATCCAGGATCGAATTTTTGGGAAATTTTAAGGGATTCCAAATTGCAAATTCTAATATTGTCGTCTCGCATTTGCAATATGCTGATGATACTATTATTTTCTGTGATGTGGATGAAACACAGCTTGGAAATATTGCAACATTTTTAGAAATTTGTGAGGTTGTTATGGAAATTAAGGTGAATTCTCATAAGTCTTCTTTGGTGGGGAATAACTGTACAGGGATGAGACTTCAAAGTTTGGCCTTAGTGTTGGACTGCAAAGTATAATCATTTCCCATTACCTATTTGGGTTTGCCAATCTCAGACTCAAAATTTCCAATTGCAGTTTGGGATAGGATTATTGAGAGGGTGCAAGTTAAACTTGATATTTAGAAGTATAAATACCTGTCCTTGGGAGGTAAGGTCACATTTTTAAGATCATGTTTAGCCAATCTTCCTGTTTATCAGATGCCGATGATTCAGATGCCAACCTTGATTGCTAAAAGGATCGAGAAATTGATGAGGGACTTCTTGTGGGTTTCGCATAGTGATAATAAGAAATACCACCTGCTTAGATGGGATAGAGTGTGTACACCTAAGCGGGAAGGAGGTTTGGGTATCCGGTGTTTGAGATATTTTAATTTTGCATTCTTGTGTAAGTGGTGGGGAAGAAGTATCTATTTGAGGGATCATTTGTGGTGCCAAGTCCTAATTGCTAAGTATGGGATGAAAAGTTATGATGTCTGGAATGGTGGTGGTAGAGGCAAAGATATTTCATATATTTGGAGAGCTATTTATAACTGCAGGCCTATGATATTGGGCTACTTCAGATGGAACATTGGTAGTGGTAGGCATACTTTATTTTAGCATCATAAATGGTTAAGGGATTACACATTGAAGCTAGCTTTCCCTAAAACATTCCGGTTGGCTTCAAACCAAAATATATTGGCTTGTGAGGTAATTGAGAGAAGAGGAGATATAATTACTTGGAGTATTTCTCTCATTTACAGGAGGCTAAGTGACGTGGTACAAGCACAATGGTGTGCTACGATGGAACTGTTAGAGAAGGTATATGTTGCACAAGATGCATAGGATATTCTTGTTTGGTAAATCGAAAATGATGGCTTATTTTCAGTTAAATTGTAATATTATTCCATCACTGGTGGAAATGGTCATCTCTTTTTATTGCCCAAATTTAAAAATGGTCGATTCCCCACGAAGTACAAATCTTTGTATGGTTGGCAACGCAAAATAAAATTTTAACTATTGACAACTTGCTCAAGAGAGGTAAAATTATGTTGAATATTTGTTTCCTTTACAAGCAAGATGGGGAGTCGGTTAATCATTTGTTGCTTCATTACCTCTTTGTTTGTATACTTTTAAACATATGTTCTTTTCATCAAGACGCACATAATAAAACTATATAAAAACATTATTCATAAAAAATAAAATGATCAAAATACCCTCAAAACTTTTCAAAAGTATTTTGATCAATTTATTTCATGTAAAATATTTTATTAATATTTTTCAAAAATTCAACTATTTTTTGTAAACATACTCCAAGTGATTTAAATTTGTAAAAAAAAAATTAAAATTCAAACACCTGAACACCCGCCTCCTTTTTTTTTTAACATTTATTTTTAAGTTTCACCGCCAACATCCTGTATTCCCCTCGCCCCGCCCCACAAGAACACCTAGGCACTTGCCCAAGCAGCCGCCTCCGCTCTTTTGAACATTATTTATTCTCAAGTTTCACCACCAACATCCCATATTTCTCATACTAAACGTTCATAATCTGAAACATGAACAAAGATTTGCTCACGACTTTATTTCGTGATTCACAATCGTGCTCGCCGATGGGCACATTCTAATTACCACAGCAAGCTCAGGAAGCTCCTAAAAAACACAAAATTCCACCCAAACATAAATAAAACTTCAAAGCTGGGGCAAATTTCAAAGCATTCATTTGACTGCCCCGGTCCAGTTTCAGAGCCGATATGGATGTTGTGTTACAGAATCCGAAATTTTAACTACCTCCACAATTAAGCGACCTTTAACAGCAAAAGAACATCAAAATGATCCGGTTATGGAAAAGGGGCTGGGATCTAGTAAACCCACACTCAAGTCAGCACGTTGTAGTTTCCATTCCGACTGACACCACCCCACTAACACCTTCAAGATGACTCTTAAAACTAATTGAAAAAATAGGTAGGAACCGGTCTTCCCCAATAAATTACCGAAAGAAAAAAAAAATAAAAAAATAAAACAAGTAGTGGTAAGTTTTTAAGAGAGAATCATAATACGTTACTGCCATTTGTCAAGGGATCAAGAAAAAAATCCCGCACAATCCATTACTATCCTAAAGAAACAGGGGAGAGTCCATTTTCTCCATATAAGACTGGCAAAGCAATAAGTAAATGGCATTCGCTTACAGGCCAAAAATTGCAAGCCCCTGAAGCCCCCATTCACCAGACTGAGGCCAGGGACAGAATCCTATCCACTGTGATCCCTGGTACACCATCGATTCTGTCTGCAACCATATGTTAACTCATAACAGCCACCCCACGAACCCCATCAACACATAGTTGAGGAACGTCCACAACCCCTTGGCTTAGTCACATTTGATGTTCCTATAAATCCTCCTAACAAAAAGAGTTGAGCCCAAATAACCAACAGCACCTGCATAATTTCAAGAGAGGAAAATGTCACACTTCCCAATATATTAGATAGACAAGAATTACCCATTAGAAGAAAAAAAATTCGGAAAAGAGTACCAATCAAACTGCTAAAACTCACCACATAGAATGCCTAAACCAAGGCAAAACATCAGAGTGTAGCCAAAATAGAAACCGGTCTGAAAGAACCCCGACATCTTGGTCTTCACATAGTAGTAGTAAATGGAGTACAGGTATACATAGACAGCTGTTGATGCAGCAGAGAAAAATGAGGTCCATTGCCAGTGGTAGTTCTCGGCATTCAGCAAGAAGTATGTTCCCACAATTGTCACACACACCGTGACGATTATGAGAATTAGGAAGACGAGAAGCATAAAACCATAGACATAGTAAACCTGCCAAGGAAGGTAGGCAACAAACAAAACCAGGTGAGTAGGTGAGACTACAATATAAGCAACAACCCAATGACTAACACTTTCAAAGTACGGGAAAGCACTACATAAATCAACAGAAAATGAAACAAACATCATCCATTTGGTTAACCATCCATTGAAATAATAAACGAAGGGATGAGAGCGGGAGCAACCACTCAATTACTGCCTTCTTCACTGGGCCCCACTCCCTTTCCATCACTGCTGACTTAAATAGCATGTAGTACATTTTCCATGGACTGTTTGCCTACCTTATAGTTCCAGAATGATGTAAACACAAAATACATCTCGATGAATATGCTGCCAAAAGGAAGGAGGCCACCCATCAGTGACACAACAGATGGGGTGAGATACCACTTCTTCTCCGGAATGGGGCGAGGAATGGTCTTGACCCGACAAGGGTTGTTAGGAGCTCCACTCCAGTTCCTTCCAACCACCGTGCCAAGAAGTGCGAGAGGGAATGAAATAAAGGCCCAGATTATGAATACAACAACCATTGTTCCAAAGGGGATAGCAGCCAAAGATCCATAAAATATAGCAATTGTGTTTAGTATGAAGCCGATGCCAAAGCACATAAATGGGAAAAGTGAGGCAGTAAGGATCATCGACTTTATCCAATTTTTACCTGACAAAATGAAATCCAAATGCAGGGAAGGAGAGAAAATGAGCTCACCAGCATTAAATGAATTTCCATTCTTAGTATATGCAGTTGTTAACCAACAAAACAAAATGTTCAGACGTGGTATCTTCATATTCCGTGAATAAATGCGTACCTCCATTGCGTGAATAGAGTCCTCCACTTACATGGCCCGAAATGAATGAAGTGAGGGCGTAACATACAATAAAAGTTGTCACAATTGCTCCGCGTCTGAATCACAAAGTAAGAACACTTTGAACCCAAAGGTTGATAACTTAAAAAAGGAGGGGGCAAAAAATAGGACTTCCACAAAAATATCAAACCAGAAAAAACGGAAAAGGAATAACACAAATGAGTACAAATGATAAGATCAGATACCCACAAACAAGATCATATACACACAGGGACTGATACATACACAAAGGCTTGCACAGACCCACAAGTAAATTCATTGGCACAACAAAAACAACTGTCAAACAATTTTGAATCCATGAAACTCAAAGAGAGGACAAGATGGACTATCCACAATATCTCACAATAACCCATTAAAGGCAGAAATTAAGAAACACCAGGAAGCAAACAAGTAAATATCTTGTCCAAATGATATATTGGAGCATTGAACCCATTTAAACCAATAAAAATCCCAACCGAAAAACATGAGTAAGAAAATATTCACCATGATAAAAGCAAAGAAACTCATGAGGCCCAATGAAAAGTATATGAAGATATTTATTGCAAATACATTTCCATGGAAATGATGTTCAGGGGAGTAAGAAAATATTCACCATGATAAAAGCAAAGAAACTCATGAGGCCCAATGAAAAGTATATGAAGATATTTATTGCAAATACATTTCCATGGAAATGATGTTCACGTTTTTGAAAGGGAACTTCCAAATCTCCTTGCGCCATTAGCATTCAACCAGACCCAGGATGTGTCTTGTGTTGGACCTCAGCAATTATATGATAGGGTCTCATGGTGGTTCATATCTGACAGACTACATTTTATGGGGTTTCTAGACAGTTTTATTGTTTGGGTTCAGCACCACCAACCCTTCTTTTTCTATACTACATAATGAATCCCCCATGGGCTATTTTAAAGGTAAGAGGGGCATTGCACCACCAACCCTTCTTTTTCTATACTACATAATGGATCCCCCATGGGCTATTTTAAAGGTAAGAGGGGCCCCAGACAGGGAGACCCATTATACCCATACCTATTCCTTTTTATTGTACATTATCTTAGCAGAATGATTGATGCCACTAATGCGGTTAAATCCGTCCCTCCAGCTTTTCCATCCGGGTGCAATTATGGGGCCAATCATCTCCTCTATGCAGATGAAACCGTTATCTTTTGCGAGGCTTTGGTCCCAACGGCAACGTCCATCAAGCACAGCAACATCATTGACGACTTCTACAGGGTGATAGGTCAAAAACTTAATTGCAACAAGGGCAATGTTATGCTCTTCAAGGTCAATACAAGTCTGAGAGCTCAAGTGCTTGATACACTTCAGTTCAAGTTAGGGGACCTTCCTGCCAGATATCTTGGACTTCTCTCCTTCATGGGCGTCTGAGGCATCTACTCTGCCACAGTCTTTTTTGGGAAGACCATCGGTCGGATTGGCTCTTGGCAAGCATTATCTTTTCGTCGCAGGGCAACTTCAACTCTTACGATCAGTACTTGGTGCCTTTTCCATTTAATGGTTGCTCTCCTTCTACCACCCTAGCCTTGCAATATGATTGAAAGACTCCAGCTTAACTTCATGTGGACAAGGACTTCAGAGAATAGGGGCTTGCACTTGGTGAGCTAGGATACCATATGTCGAAAACCTAATGAAGGAGGGCCTCGGGATTTGTAAACTTCATGACTTCAATATGGCAGGCATGATGAAGCTTGCTTGGAGAATCATCTCCAAACCCTCCTCTCTCTTGTCCCAGTTCTTCAAGCACAAATACTTCCACCACAACGGTCCGGTCGGTGCACGATAAGAGTTGCTCACATGCTTGGAGGGGTGTAGCCTTAGGTTTGAATAGATTGTAAGTTAATGTAAGATGGATATGTGTTGGTGGCGAGCTGATTGATTTATGGGCTGACTTGTGGCTATCAAATTCCTCCTTATGGGAGATGCATGGCGCCAATGTTCACAAGGCACTTGGCAACCAGGTAAGGTTCAAGGTCTCAGACTACATGGAGGGTACACCACAAAGATGGACTCTCCCGACACCTACCTTCGGCCCACTCATTCACGCCTGGGAGGAGAATTATTCACATGTGCTCCCTATTCGTCCCTCTCAAGATCAGCTGCCTAGATACGTTCAGCTAATGACAAGCTCTCAGTGAATGCGCCAATACAACCAGCATTCAGATCCCTAAGGACAACCCCATCCCACCATAGAGGGAAGTGGTTTACTCGGTTGCCCTGCACTCTCAACTGCCTAGCATGAGCCTGCTCTAGTCTATGGGCCTTTCCTTGGTCACCATATGCCCATTTTGCCTCCAAGAAGAGGATTCCACTAACCATATCATAATGTCATGCGTGTTTTTGCAGGTACTCTGGATATCCATACTTTGGAGATTTGGAAAATGCATACCACTCGAGCAATTTGTTATCATGATGATGGTAAAATGGCTGAAATTCCAGTTCAAATCCAATGGCATGAAGAATGTCTGGTTCTCCTCCACCACTGTCTAGTACCTGTGGGCCGAGCGTAATGAGCGTATCCATGGCGGGAGGACTTCTTGGAAGCATCTCCTACAGTGCATCATCCACTTTGTCAGCAAGCTAGCAGAAGGGAAGGGTTGGGCTTTTCACCCCTCAGAGCAACATATCACCACAAACCTTAAGCTCAAGTGACATTCTGCGCCGCCCCCCCCCCCCCCCTTCTTGTGTGGTCTCTCCCTCCCACGGGGTCTTTCAAGCTCAACATCGGTGGGTCATCCTTTCATAACCTGGGTACCGCGGGGTGTTTGGGGAGGTCATTAGGAACGACACAGGAGGCTTTGTAGTGGCCTTTGTTGTCCCTCTTGGTTCCACCAACAATGCCACTGAGCACAAGAAATGAATTGCCGCCCACTTATCATAGATAGTTGACTCACTCAACCATCCTAACTCACCCCCAAGGAGGCGTCGCATCCTTTTGACCATCTACATGGCAAAGCTTTCCTCCCTCGCTGATCACCAGTGGTTATCACAGTCTTTTTTGGGAGGCGAACATGACTGCCGACTACCTGGCCAAGTAGGCAGCATCTATGGCTCAAGCCACGATTTGGCAGGCATGTCCTCCAGATTTTGTCACTCATCTCATTTTGTGTGAGTTTGCCAACATCCCCCTAGATAGGGTTGTTCATTGATTGTACATGTAATATGCCTCGTTGTAACCTTTTCTTGTGACTATTAATAAAAAAACAAAAATGGGTAAGGGCTTGTCATCCCCACTAATTTACCCAAAAACAAAAATGGAAAAGAGAACTTCCAAATCCATGATGGGAGGTCTGTCGTGATGTTATGGCAAACATCAAAGGCAAGCAGCCCAGCCTACAACCTTTTATATGGGAATGCCAAAAGCAACAAAAATTTCAAAAGAAAAGGACAAATGAAGAACACAACAGAAGCATAGTCTTTAAGGACAAACATATGACTCGAACCCAATCTTCTAAGCTTTGTACACTCTGGCTGCCTACGGGATGACTTTAATGGAGAACATAAATTCTGTATGCACACTCTGAAAATATACACTAGCTTAAGGCACATTTCTTTCCTTCTTTCCGTCTTGTCTTAGTAATGAGGCACAATTTCTTTTGGAACATCCTTGGCATCCTAAGGAAATGATAATAGTAAATGAGAGCACAGCAGTTGTACAAATCCTTACTTGAGTACTTGACTTTATGAGGTCTGATAGATGACAAACTTTTTTTTGTATTGTACTAAGACAGAAGGATCAGTTGGTAGGTACAAATAATGTGAGATGGTTACCATTCACTTAATGCGTGATCTATATGAAAGATTATGTGAAATATTACCAATTTCGGTGATTGGAACAAGATAGCTTCTCACTTAGAGCTTTTTTGAATAAATAAAAAACTAACAAAACTTCCAAACTTCAACCATTATTTAACAGTCCACAAGAGAATGACATCATATTAGCTATTAAGGAAGCCACAATCATCCAACGATTGGAAACTGACATATAGAATGCATAAGAGTCATAACTGGTAAATCAAATTCTAACAAGCAATTGCATAATGTAATAAATCAAATTCTAACAAGCAATTACATAATGGAATTCTAGTCACAATTTATGAACCAAGTATAGTTCAACATATATAATGTAGTCCACATACCCTATGTACAGCATTCCAACTATGGCCAGCAAGATCACCAGAAGAACAAGCATTGCTAGCTGTGCACCTGTCCCAACAACTGCTGATAGTATAACCAAGTTGCGTGGGGGACGGAAAACATCACCGTGTACAAGTTTCCAGCCCGACTCCTCACTTACATCTCTTTCCTGATAACCACAGAAACAAAGTTTAATAAAGGTATACATTAGCACCAAACATCTTCATGATAAGATTCATGAAATTGTTGAACCCTCCAAGATAGGAACGGAACAAACTGAAATGAAACCCATTAAATTGAGTGCGCACCAGAGTCTCCAGATCGTCATCTTCTCTAGCATATTTGGCATAGTCATTTCTGAGAGTTCGCATCAATATCATTGACACCAACCCAGTGAGGAAAATAACCATCATAAAGGAATTGAAAATGGAGAACCAATGGATCTGCAGAAGATAAGAAACATAATACGTTGATTATTTTTCTCTGCACCTTTTTTATGCTATTTTCTTTCATGCATGTCAAGTCATGAATTGCATCCTTACATGCCACTAACATATGGGAATCCCAGGGCATGTTTGGGTGTGGCTTATAACTCGCTACACCAAATTGCTCTAGTTGACATAAGGGAAGAACACCTTTTGCATAGTTCTGCACTTACGCCCAAAGCAGTCAGTACCATAAAAGTGGTGTGCACATGTTGTAGGTACCATCCCTGCACCAAACATGCCCTGCATCCAGTGGTTTAAAAAACGGGTTGGTGCCCCTGATTGGGCACCCCAAAAACCCATCCGGATCGGGGAATCGGCAATCTGGATCGGGAATCGGTCGAATCGGTTGGATTAAGCCTTAAAAAAATCTAAAATAATTATTAAAATTTACTATAAATGTTGTTTTTTAGGAATCCAATAAAAAATGGGGGTACTCCATTAAGAACTTTCATTTTTTTTGCATCAATATGCTAATATTGAGATTTTTTTTCCTGTATGAACTACTGTTAACCATTATTATTATTTGTAACATTATAGTAAACATGAATAAAAATGTATCAAAAAATGTTTCCATATCATATGCTTAAAAATAAAAATAAAACCCCCAATAAATTCTAATGTTATGATATTAAAAGATTCAAAAACACTTTATCCAAAAAAATGAAAATTCAAAAAATAAAAAAAATGTCTATCGACAACATGCACAATAGTTACAAAAAAATAAAAATAAAAATCAATATGGAAATAAAATATACCAAAAAACCATTTTAATAATAATTTGGCACTCTAATTAAGTCATTTAATTAGAGAATTATGTAGATGAGGCTCATTGAATATGACACGCTAATTTGGAAACATGATATGCTAATATTTATAAATTAATTGGCACACTCATTAATAACCTTAAACTCTCATTAATTCATTTTCTTGCGTTTAATGAGTAGCATATTAATACATTTAGAAATGGGAGTGCCGCAATATTTAATAAGTAGCGTTTAATTAAGTAGCGTATTAATACATTTAGAAATGGGAGTGCCGCAGCGTTTAATTAAGTAGTGTATTAATACATTTAGAAATGGGAGTAGCGTTTAATAAGTAGTGTATTAATACATTTAGAAATGGGAGAGTCGCAGTGTATTGTTTAGGGGTGCTTGCGTTTAATAAGTAGCGTGTAAAAAATGGGAGTGCCACAGCGTTTAATAAGTAGCGTATTAATTTTGTGAATAGGTTTGGGATCCAAGAATTGTCCCACATCTAAAAATGGGAGTGCAAAATGATGATATAAAAGCCACAATTTTGCAAGATTGAGTAACAAATTAATGAGAACGTGGGAGGCTGTTGTTGCCTCTCTCAATGCTAGTAGAGGGAGGTGACGCCTTGCATGCAAGGCTGTATGGGTCGTTGTCAGTATGCAACGCGTGGCGTGCAAGGGTACATACCAGGGTACAGTGCAAGGGTACATACCAGGGTACAGTAGTGCCAGTGTGCAATGCGTGGCATGCAAGGGTTACGTACCCATTCACTGTAGCGTATCGCTTGAGCGATTTTGGGTCGACTCGCCAACTTTTAAACCACTGCTTGCATCGAATTATGTAAACCAGAATATAAAAATCTTAGCTATCCACAATTCGTATCCCATCTACACACACGCCTAACTATGGCATTTATATGTACTGTTCAAAAAATCGGATACGACAACCTACGCAGTCATGAGCTGGGTGGCCACCTGGAAACCTATGCAACAGGCCAAATTTTCTTTTCTTCTTTTTCCTTTTAACAATTTTCTTTTTGTGGTTATGTGAGAGGGGGGGAATGCTGGGGGTTACATATCATTAGTATCAAGAGAAGATGGATGTCTTCATTCTAAAGGTGTAAATAGGGAAGAAAGAAAGGGGGAACAACAAGAAGGTGCTCATGGAAAGTATCAGGCAAGAAAATTTAAGTTCAGGCATGAATTCCATACAACTCAAGAAAACAAATGCACCACAAAGGCACATATAAGGGAGAGCTTCCTCACCTGGTGCTCAAAGAAAGGGTAGTCCAAGTAAACATCAAACCTCCGTGCAAATGTTACATTTGTAGAAATCCATTTGACAGAATAAGTAAGGTCCAATGACTTCCCAGCCTCAAGAGTTTTAGGATTTTCTTGGGTAAGATTTACATGAATAATCTGCGAACACAAATAATCAACAAGGACAAGGACTGGAGGTCACGGAAAAAATTACGGAAAAAGGCAGACGAAACATCACGAGAATTGACAAACCTGATCTCCATTGTATTCGACAACAATATTTTTATGTGTGAAAAGAACATGCTTATTGTCATTGACTTTGTCAGAACGAATATCACCAACATAGCCTAAACATCAACATCATACATTGGCACTGAGGATCAGAGCATGGGATAAAACGACCTAAACGAAGGATCAGAATATAAATGTGAAGTATTGAGTTCATACCCCGGAGAAGTAAATCATCTAGCCAGTGGAATCAGCAAATGCCAACAACAAAGCCAAGAATTAATGTCAGAAAGAAATATGATAAGAACGAAGATTCAAAATAAGAAAATAAAACTCTGGAACAACTCCTAAAACCATTACTGGCATAACGAACATGTCCAGCAGTGGAACATTGAGCAATAATTTAAGGAGACAAATTGTAAAACCATGAGCTAATAAAAGGGATGTAAACATACCCAACATCAGACAAGAAAAATATTCAAGCTCTATGTAACCACACATTTATTCAGCAGTACATAAGTTATCAACATCACAAAAAGTAACAGTAAACTAGCTGACATACCCATAAAGAATTCAAACCAGTAAGCGTTCTCAATTGCATCCTTGAACAGCTTTGCCTTCGCATCATCCAGCTCAAGCTCACAAATGGAGCGCTTGTCAACATTTCCTATCAAAACATTAACGCAGTATTAATCCAAGTGGAAGTAAGTGATGCAAACAGATATACATGTGTACACACACACACATATGCACACACACACAGATATGCACCCCTCAATGACAGGTAAGAAAGCATGAAAATAGAGTGATGGAAATGGCAGCAAAACAGATAAGAAGGTGCACATACTTTTAAACTTTATTTCTATTTGACTGTCAATGAGCTCATTTCCACCAAGAACCTCACCAAGACCTCCCCACTTATGAGCAGGATTACCAGCTGGTTGGCAAAATGGAAGGCTGTAATAATTATATGTCTCCTGAGGATTGTTATAAGGTCCCACCTTGTTCACCCAGAGCATAACAGGCTCATCTTCTTGATACTGTACATTACACATCGTGGTAACCATTAGTAAAAATTCAATAAATTATCTATCAATGAGAAAATGTTGAAGCAATAAAGCACGATCTTTGATTTTCTAGATTTGAGCATCTCATATAAAATTATATCTGCCTAATCAACTTAAACTATTATAAGTAAGGAACTTATAAATAAAAGTCATGCCCCAGTTAACCACACAGACTACTTTTCAAGCACTTTGATTATACCCGTGGTGTGAAAGAGAGAGAGAGCGAGCGAGAGAGAGAGAGAGAGAGAGAGAGAGATGGCTATATGATCATTATATGAACAATTTTAAAAAGAGAAAAAAATTGAATGTCATCCACCAAATGCATGGCCTGCACTCATTGTTGGAGTGGAACTCATATGGACCTTCTCTAGGGTGCAAATTCAACTTTTATTTCATTCTAATATCGATATTTTGGATGAAGCGAATGTCTGTACAAATATAGAAGTCATTCAAATACCATAAATATGTTCTTTTGAAGGACTGGATTCATTAATCATTATGTTACTATGAAACATTGCATGATATATGGGAAATGTTTTCTTCATACTGGAACCCTACTACAATAAGTTGGGATGCAGTCGTCCACACTATCCAATGTCCATTAATTTGGACAGTGCAAATTTCTCGCCAAATTCAACAAGGGAAACAGGGGTGTGGGAAGCACCAGTTACCCCTCTACTTTTCCTATTTCTCTCTCTCTCTCTCTCTCAATATATATATATATATATCCGTCCAGTTTCTAACTCTCTTTAATCCCACTTTCTCTGCAACTTCCCTCTCTTTCACTTCTCTCTACTTCTCTCTGTCTCTCTCTAAGCTTTATATCTGAAGAGGTGGTGGCTTGTTTGCTGACGTTTGTGGGATTTTTTGCACTTTTTGTAGAGTGAGAATGTAAGTTTGGAGTTTTGGGGTGTCTGCTATTGGGGACGGCCTTGTTTTGCAATGAGATTATGTGGGTGTCAGTTTTGGGGGTTTGTAGAAAGAGAAAGTGAATCCATTCAGAAAAGTTTAGGTGTGGCACCAATAGGCGATAAGAAGAGAGAGAGAGTAGACTTAGGTGACCTGACCATGTGGGACGTCGACCTAGTACAACACCTGTTAGGGGGTGCAAGTTAGTTCAAATGAAAGGATTGACAAGGGCAAGGGGTAAGCCCAAAAGGACGTGGTTGGAAGCAGTCCAAAAAGATATGGGGACTTATGGCCTCACTGAGGGTATGGCCTTAAACAGAGCAGAATGACGAATCAGGATTTGTGTAGCCGATGCCAATTAATTGGGAAAAAGCTATGATGATGATGATGATGATGATGTATGGGGGAGAACTACAGAGTGAATATTTTAAGAAATGGAGGTTTAGGAGGGGGAAGGAGAGTATAAGGAGAGGATGATTATGGATGAACACTTTACAAGAGAGATTCATAGAAGTTGCATTTTGATAGAGAGAGAGAGAAAGTGAGAGATAGAGAGAGAGAGAGATGAAAGGGGATTTGATCTCAAAGAGAACAGCAATGGGCTTCATGGTTGAACATAGGTTGTGCACATTAAGGTTACAGCATGGAGAAACAATTGAAGCAAATACTAGCTTGCAAGAACAAGAAGGCTGCCTTCGAGGAGCTTCTCTATACAGTGAAGAGGCAAAAGAGCAGCCCTGGTTGGAGGCTCAACCTTTTTGAGAGAGAGATTTTGCCATTTCTTGGCCGGAATTTTTTCTTTCCAGCAGTGGAGAATGAAAATCCAGTAATCTCAGCCCATTTTGTAAGAGAAAAATGCTTTGGAAGAGAGGAAAGAACAGATAAAATGGGCAAAGAGGATACATAAGGAAACCCAGGCCACTGGGAAGTCACGATTCCTTTCTTGGCTAGGGCTGCAGCCTTATAAATGACATCACAATGCACACAAACATTCATTGAAACATTATAAACCTACCAAAGGGAGGCCATCTAACCATGACAGCATTTTCAGTTATGCCTCTCAATTTTTGATCTTGATCAAATGGAGAGGAGCGCATAACACCTTTTGGATTTTATCGCTTTTTTTCCTACATACCATTTTGATCTAAAATTTGGGTATTGGGCAGATTTAACTGCAGCAAACCTGTTAAAAATAACGGTTACGTTAGGATCCAGAAGAGGTGACGAGTCAAACACCTTAGGACAGGGTGCTTTGGCCAGAAGTCCCTCTAAACAGCAGCCATTTAATGGCCATGAGGAACAATTCTCTGACAAACTCAGAGCGAAAGACATGTACAAGCCCAAGGCTTGTTGTAAGTTTTGAACTCCGCTTTTTGGACAATGTTGACATTGACGGTAGATTTTCTGCAGCCCCTCAAACTCCCAGCAATCCTTCTCTTTCTCCCTTTTGAGGCCTCCAAAGCTTCGACAGTTCAAGGCCAAGGGGATGCACTTCATCCACATTGGGAAGCTAGAAGTCATAATTACAATACTGACTTGTGAGAACCACGCCACTTACATCTTTTTATGTGTTTTAAACAGCCGCAACATACACTGTGACACTGCCAAAAAGACCATGAAAGCATCCATAGCTAGAATAAATATGATTCGTCATGGCCCCGAACTTCACGACCTCCCTCACCAACCAACATTTAAATCAAGTCCTCAAAACGCAGACTGAAACACAGGGCTTCAACATGCTCAAAGGCTCTGTGAACAGCATAGTAACTTGGAAGGTCTGCTATAAGGCCATTAACACCTGTATGTGCTGGTTATGAGAGATATCATCATATTTGACGGTATCTAACTGGAAGAGGACATCGAGGGCAACAATAGTGCCACAAAAAATAAAACCAATAGAAGTGCATATCGCACAGGGTTGGACATTTGAGCACTCGTCAACTAAAGCCATTGAGCCACCAAGAGGAAGGGTTAGCAGTGATAGCTTGGGCAGATTCGCCATAGACACTTGAATGTCGCCAAGATAACTATAGCAGAGCCATATTTCCTGGATAGGTAGTCTGGGATGATAAGGCGAGAGCAAGACAAAGTCTTGAATAGCAAAGATAGAAAGATTCTTCATCTTGCCTCATACAACTGAGAAATACTTGTTTCCGTTGCAAAAATGGCAAAGCTACATTGATTTAAAAAACAGACCGCCCAGCACCTTAGGCGATCCAGAAGGCCTGGGGACTTCGCCCAGGCCTAGGAGGTAAAACTGGGCGGTCCGTCCCCGCCTAGGCGGTACGAACCCGCCTGGGCGGCCGCCTTGCGCCTAGCCCTGAGCGGCCGCCTAGCGCACAGCCTTAGGCAGCTGCCTAAGGCCTGCACCCCACCCAAAGGCGGAAAAAATGATTTTTTTTTTTTTTCGTTTTGTTATTTTGAAAGATTTAAAGGTTAAGAATGATGGTTTTTAGGTTCATTTAAACCCTAAACCCACAAGAAGCCCCTTTAGACTAAAAAAAGTCCAAAAAACTACATTTCATTGGATTGATCATCGAATCATCAAAGCGTTTATCAAAGTTTTGGAGTTCAAGCCACCAAAGTAAGTGCATTTTTTAGATTGCTTGCTTTATTTTGAGATGTCTTCTTCAGGAGTTAATCGGAGTGGAGATCCGGGTTGGAAATATGAATACAACCCGAATCCAAACGACAAAAATTGCGTTAGATGCTATTTTTGTGAAAAAATACAAAATGAGGCATAAACCGGTTTAAGAAACATCTTGCCGGTATTAAGGAGGATGTTACCCCTTGTAAAAATGTTCCTGAAGCTGTATCTTCTCCAACTTCTAGTGGTCGGAGTGGTAATCTGGGTTTGAAGTATGGTTATATCGCGAATCCAAGTGATAAGAATCATATTAAATGTAATTATTGTAGAAACGATACTAATGGGGGCATTCACAGGTTTAAAAAACACCTTGTCGGTATTACGGAGGATGTTGCCCCTTGTAAAAATGTTCTTGAACCAAGGAGGAAATTATACAATATTTGAGTTTAGAGAAGCACAAAAAGAAGGATACAGCAGCTAAGACTCTTAGGGCCTCATCTACACAGACTACACATACTAGTAAGAGGACGGTAGAAGAAGAAGAGGAAGAGGCAAATTCAGAAGGAACAGAGGAAGAAGAACGTTATATTGAAGAGGGAGATGACTCTAATGATGATGGCCTCGACTTTTATGCATATGATGAGGCTTGTGCTATTGATATTCCTTCTGATGATGTTGATGATGATGATTGAAGACTCTTGCCTCTTGGTGCTGAGTGTTGAGTCTGTTGACTGTTGTGTTGAGTCTGTTGATTGTCGACTTTTTTTAGACTGTATAGTCCAGTGTTGAGTGACTTGAGTCTGTTGACTGCTGTGTTGACTTTTGTTAGCCTGTATATTTTCTATATTTCTATATATTCCTGTTGTGTTGGGTGATGACTTTTATATCACTTGTATGGTTTTACAATTTACTGTTTTAACAATATGGATTATCAAAATTCTCTTCGCGACTTCTATTTTTTTTTTTTTTTCAAGTTGGATTGTTGGAATATGGTATATTGGGACAATGGGATTTTTATTTTTTTTCAACTGGGCAGCCGACCAGGTTCTAGGCGCCCGCCTAGGAGCTAGGTGGCCTGGACCCCCCAGGCCGCCTAGGACCCACCTAACGCTTTTTGATACACTGCAAAGCTACACCTGGAATACCTTGAAGATCCCTGGTGGGAGCTCGCGGCCTAGATCAGAGATGCCACCTAAACATAGCCTAGATCAGCGATAACAGCTCAAAAATATAAGGCTTGCGGCACAGAGAGGAGGCATAGAAGTCTCCTCAACTACATCTATGAAGAGCAAATTGCAGCAGCATCAAGATTCACAAGGTTATTAGCTATATGAGAATACTTGGAAGTCACCACCTTCCCCTGTTCAAACGCCTAGAAGGGGACAAAGATATGAAAAATTCCAATCTTCAATTCGGAGGGGAAGTATGGTCAAGATGCCTTTCACACACACCTAAATTGGATGAACATTGCCCTCCACACCATCAATCACCATATTGGCAATAATATAGAGGAGATAGTTGAGAGCTCATCCTCTTGGTGGAAATCACAAGCAATACCCTTGCCACTGCTAGAGAAGACCCACAGTCCATTTGTGAAAAAAACTCATCCCTGCAAGACCCAAGATTTATCCAAGCAAAGATGGCCCCAAAGCTGCCGAAGTTGTAGAAACCGACAAGAACTAGGACGGAAGTTCCGCAATGACTTGAAAGTAGTTACTAATATGATATACACAACTCCACAGATATCTAACTTAAGCTTGAACCCTAGATTTTTACCAAATTTAATTAAAGAATCCATCTCATCCTACTATCTTGCTCAACCATCAATGTTCCAGCAACTTTAACATCGATCAAACCCTTTAACTCAAACCCTAAACTTTACCTTAACCTCATCAAAACTTCCCCTAGACCAAGATTGATTCCTAACCCTTTTATGTGTCATATCATCCACTCCTACTGAATTTAGGAAAACCCAATACATCCAAAACCCTCCTGTACTAAACTTCATCCAAAACATAAGCCCTTTAGAACAACCAAATCCTAACCTAATTATAAGCCATCCCAGGCCTTAGACCTATGTAGGAGCCCAGCCCCCTTGGTCCTACATCAAACTTGTGCCGGCACGAATGCACACGCAAGTGCCCAATCAAGACTGAAAACAAACAACAATAGCACTTCCACTCAACAAAATGTAATCACATTCAAGTAAATGTAAGTTGTATTACAATTTTAAAATAGAATCCATCCAATTCCATAGAACGTGAAGAAAGGAAAAAACTTTGAAAGACTCCGGGGAACAGTAATCAAGAAAAGCCGTGAAATTTGGCCATTAGTCAAACTAAGATCAATTTTTTGAGAAAATGCATGGGGCAAGCTAGCAAAAACATCTGATGTACATTAAATTTATAAAGGAAACAAGAGCATTACGTTTCAAAAAAAAAAAGAGGAAACATGGCCATGAAAGCAATAATAGACATAATATAAGCCTATAAAAGAGTTGGACATTTCAGGTTCAGACTAATGAAGCACAAATACTCCAAGATGTGACAAAAAAAATTTTAGACATCAAATAATCTTAACTTCCTAACAGTGACAACAAAATCAATCCCAGATCTAGGAACGTGATGTCTTAAAGAGAAGAACAATCCACTCAGTGAACGGCATAGCCAGAGAAATCAAAGCCATAAACCCATTTTCTCTTCTTTTTCTACCGCTTAATAATATATCACAACCCCATATATACAGAAGCATCTACATGAAAGCAGAGAGTTCAGATCTCACAACTGATAGTGCAACAAAGCCAGAAAAATAATTTTAAAAAAAAGAATAAATGACAAATCAATAATAGAAGCAATTTCTTCCAATTTAAGAGCTTAACAAATAAAATCCTAAAAAAATATATATAAAAAGAAAAATTATTTCCCATGAATCTAATAAGTTTTTTTTTTTTTGAGAACTACCATGAATCTAACAAGTTAAGCCATTACAAACGCAAAGAAATCTCAAACAGAAGAAGAAGTGGATCTACCAACACCAAGTCAATCCACCCAAAAACCCTAATCATTACAGTGAATTTGTTGAGAGTAGAACAAAACAATAACCAGATCTAGAAACGAACAGGATTATAATAGCAAAAAGAGGAAAAAACTTTGGGCAAGAAGGTACCTTGTGATCTGATTCTGAAGCAATGGATGGGGTGATGAACAGGAAGAAGAGGAAGAGGTCAGAGAAGAAGGAGCGGGATCGGAAGGTGGGGAGCATTGCGGGATATGGCGAGGGGCGGATCTGACGTTGTAGATGTTGGAGGAGCGCCGCTCCCACAAAAGAGAGAGACAGAGAAAAAGAGAGAGAGGATACGAACCCGAGCTGCGCTTTTAAAACTCGTTTGAAGTTAGATCAAACCACACGGTTCTCGTCCGGCCTGCGTTGCTCTTTCAATTCGACTCCTCCAG